TGAGCGAGGCGCGGGAGCAACACCGAGGGTTGCGATCCCGTTGCCGGTCCCCGGTCCGGTATGGGGGCGACACTGAGGGTTGTGATCCATTGCCGGACACAGAAAAAGACAAAAGACAAAAAAAAAAAAAAAAGTTCTTCACTCTCCCCTTAGACACAGTAGCTGCAGCTTTGAGAGCTCAAGGGGCTTGCCCAAGGCCTTTTAACCCCTCTTGCAGGACGAGTACAGCCTCTCAGCAGTGCTGGCTGTGGCTTGTCCAGTGCTGGAGCAGGAGGCAGGTGGACTTAGATGAACAGAATCCCTGAGGCCCTGGTCAGAATGTTGCTCTAGGGGAGTGATGCCCAGCTGCTCTTCTGGAGAGAGACGTAGTCATTGTGTCTTTGGGATAATACTGTGAAAGCCTAATGAACCACTTGGAGCAATTTGTTTCCCGGGCACTAAATATACAACAGGGAAGGGGCCAGTGTTTACTGAGCACCGGCTGTGTCCCAGGCACCTAGGTAGGTGGTTAACTTGTGTGTCCTTTGCAGTGTATTTTCTTTCACACTTTATACAAAGGGATCATATTCCACCACACCATTCTGCCCCTTGCTTTTCCACTTACTATATCTTAGCTTTTTCTCCACCTGTACGTGGAGATGTATGTGCTAGCTACATCGTGCAACTCAGTCCAACCAGCATCCCCACAAAGTGGCTGTTGGTGTCATCCAATGTAAAAAGAAGAGAAAAACCTTGTCCTTTCAGAGGTCAAGAACTTGTCTGTCCTGTTGCGTAGGATTGTTTTAAGGATCAAAGGCTACAATAAAGGGAGAAGTAGATTTCTTAAACTGTGAAACATTAATGTAAAGTATTATTTTAGTGTAGCCAACTGTATCACCTCAGAGTCTGGTTACGTATTCTGTGTTCTAGGGTGTTGGTTCCCTAAGGAATGAGGAGAACATTAAATTCTGTAGCTAATTCTGCAGAATCATCTGGTAGTGGGGTTTTTTTGCTTGTTTATTTTTTTAAATGCCCTGCCTTTGTCCTTCGTAAGGGGAGCCAGCATCAGGGACCTTAGTGCCTGAGGAGCAATGATGGGACAGGGCTGATGCTCAGACACCTGCCTATTTTGTAACTGCAGTATCTTCCCTGGTGCACACATCAGTGAGGTACAGAGGTATTCCTCCTGCTCACATCTGGCTGGACACACTCTTCCTGGTCCCAGACTGGGATCCTTCTGGAACTGGCCCTTTTCCCGAGGCATCCAATCTGGGGCTAGGGGCTCATGTGAGACTGAGCACTGACGAAGGACTTAAGACTGGGAAGAAAGCAAATGGTGAATTCACCATCATTACCACCATCACCATCACCACCACCATCACCATCACCACCACCATCACCACCACCATCACCACCATCATCACCATCAACCACTACCATTGCCACCATCCCCGTCGTCACCACCACCACCACCGCTACCATCATCACCACCACCACTATTGCCACCATCACCACCATCTTTGCTTCCTGCAGCCTGCAGGGGCTATTTCAGGTTCCCAAAAAGGTCCTGGGCCAGCTGTGATCATCAGATCAGATGAGATCTCCCTGCAGGGCTGCGTGCATACCTGTTGGGCCTCAGCAACTCAGCTGCTTCACAGAGCTGCTTTATTTTGCTTTTTCAGTTCAGTGTCGCATGTGATCACATTCTCAGCGTTCTTTTTTAAAAGTACTTTGTTTTACGTGATCAGAAAGGTGATTAAAAAAATAAAACGTATTTTGTTTTTTAATTCAGCCTGCTCCTGGAGGTTTTTACTTGGCTTAAAAATAATGTTAGAATGGAAAGTTTATTGTCTTAAAAAATAAAGAAGAAAAGACAAAACTGTAGGTAAGTAGGAGCAATCTCCAGACACAAACCTTGGGTTGACAGTGATAAAATCTGAGGGGCTGCCTCGTAAGACAGCAACCAGAATGAAGATACCACACCTCATTAGAGTCCACATCTTTGCTAGAGTGGTTTTCTGTAAAGCCAGGCAAAGTTATGCCACAAAACGTATGCTTGACTCGGGCTTCTTCTTTCCAAATGAGAATAATATTTCACAAAGTTTACTGAAAAGAAAGTTGTGTTTTGTTTCTAGACACAGATGGAACGTGGCCTGGTGTCAGTCCTGTATTCACCCTGACCTTAGAGTTTGTCCTTCCAGCCCTCCCTGTCTGCAGGGTGGAGGCTTGGGGCCCTGCTGGCCCAGACCCTGGTGCCATAACGTGGTGTGTGGTCAGTTTCACAAAATGCAGAATTCTCCTCATTTGCGTTGCTCAATGACGAGCCCTAAGGTGACTGGGAGGAGACCTTGTATGGATAGCGTGCCACAGCAGAGGCAGGTAAAACGATGACGACGATAAACCCATGGTGGAGGCTGAGACCAGCCCCTAGGATTCAGCCTTAAACACTAAATCAGTGCAAGAATAAAATGTGCAAAGTTCACAGGCAACTATGAGATCACCTTCTTTT